GAAACTGTAAGATTGTGCAAAAGAGATATCAAGCCATATCTCGATAGGACAGTGCAAGAAATTAGTTACTAGTAGTGGTTCTCAACCTGTGGGTTGGGACCCCTTTGGGGGTCAAATAACCCTTTCACAGGGGTTGCCTAAGACCATCGTAAAATACATATTTTCAAAAAAATATGGAAAACATAAAATAATTTTATGGTTGGGGGGGTCACCACAACATGAGGAACTGTATTAAAGGGTCGTGGCATTAGGAAGGTTGAGACCCACTGAGTTAGAGGCATATTTAACACAGGAGAGGAGCATTCTGGGTAAGGTGGCAATGATATATAGTCCTCAACATATAACAATTCATTTGGTGACCATTCAAAGTTACAACAGCACTGAAAAAAGTGACTTCACACTTATGACCATTGTAGCATCCCCATGGTCACATGATCAAAATTCAGGTGCTTGTTAACTGACTCATATTTATGATGTTGCAGTGCCCAGAGGTCATGTGATTCATCTTTTGTGACCTTCTGACAAGCAAAGGCAGTCGAGAAACCAGTTTTACCTAACAACCATGTTACTAATTTAACAACTGTGACAAGAAAAGTTGTAAAATAGGGCAAAACACACTTAACAAATATTTCACTTAGTAACAGAAATTCTGTGCTCAATTGTGGTCGTAAGTTGAGGACTACCTGTAGGGTGGCTGCATCAAACTAAAAGGTAGTTATGGTTTTCTCATTATTTTGTTCAGACTATTGAAATATTTTAGGATTTAAAAAAATCTTTCAACTCTACTTTGATCGTCATCTTTTGTTGTTTCTTCTGCCCCCAAATGATGAGAAACAAACTCTTTAATTTGATTATCATCACTTAATGAGATTTTGTGAGCCATGTCAGTCTAGCTTCCTGAAGATATGAGGCAACGTGTGATAAAAAGCAGAAGTGATTTTCTTGCTCACTTAAAAGAAGGAATTAACTGTCTTATTGCCAATATTGGGTTTCTTGGCCTCTGTGGAAGAATATCAGGAGCTTGACATTTTCTGAAATAATCAAAGGCTGTGTTCCTTTGACTTACTGCCTTGCTGTGTTCCAGAATGTTCTAAGATTTTTTGTTTTGGTCACCATGATGTAAAAAAAGATTACATCAGAGACTAGAACACAGGTGCCAACTTGTCACGACGTTTCATGACATTTTCCCCATTTACGGAGTTGAGGTGAGCATGGACTGCATGTGATGGATCTGGCTTAGGGGCTGCCAGTTTGACACCCTTGCTCTAGAAAGTATGCAGAGAAGAGCAACAAAGATGATTAGGGGACTGGAGACTAAAATATAAAGAACAGTTACTGGCATTGGATATGGCAAGTATAGTGGAAAGAAGAACTAGGGATGATATGCTAGCAGTTTTCCAATATCTCAGAAGTTGCCACAAAGAAGAGGGAGTGAAACTATTCTCCAAAGCACCTGAGGGTAGAACAAGAAGCATTGGGTGGAAATTAATCAAGGAGAGAAGCAACTTAGAACTGAGGAGAAATTTCCTGACAGTTAGAACAATTAACCAGTGGAACAACTTGTCTCCAGAAGTTGTGAATTCTCCAACACTGAAAGGTTTTAAGAAGGTATTGGACAACCATTTGTCTGAAATGGTATAAGGTTTCCTGCCTATGCAGGTGGTTGGATTAGAAGATCTCCAAGGTCTCTTCCAACTAAACCTATTCTATTCTATCGTATTAATTTTTATTGATTAATTCATTATTAACACTTCTGTGACAATATTTCTCCAAAGAGCACTGAGTGGATCAAGTGATAAGAATCAAGTGAGAAAACGATATAATGGTGCATCTAGTATCTACTTTCTGAACCATTGTGCCAGATTTAAATGACCAATTTAGAAAGGATCACTTCTGCCTGTTGATCAGAAACTCTCTCTCATGCAAAGAGTATCCACTTAAATTTAGTGCTTTTCTTTCCCTCACCCCTGTGGGGCACAATTGACAGTTTTTCAGTGGGAAATTGTACACAATTGTACTTTTAGCAAGGTATAAATGAAGTTGTATGACTTTTTCTGGGAACATTTAATTTAAAGAGTACCAGAATTTTTGCTCCTCCTCAAAAGCCATGCCCAGTAGAAAGACAGCTTATTATGTGTTGCATTTTTATGTAAGTCACAAAATGACTTTTTCTTTAGCAGGGTCTTGAAAGCCTTTAGTATTTTTACTATATATTTGTAGTGTAGTCACTATTGCCTGGAGGAGAAGGGAAATTACTCCCATAGTTGAATCCATGCCAAAGAGATTTGAAACACAAAGCTGTTGTGTACAATAAAGACACTTTTCTAAGAATATAGAAAAGCAGATTGACTTACAGTCCAATTTTTGTGCACTGTGTCAGGACATTATTTTTTTTAAGTATTTCAAAAGAACTAACAAAACAATAATTTAGCCTTGACTAACCAATTCCAATTTATTTTAGATTATTTTGGCCTGAGCAGGCATTTATGGTTATTTCTAGGAGCAACAGTGCATGGATTTCTACAAGACCCATTTTCTGTTACTATTTTGTGCTGAAATAAATACGAAATTGCAGTAAAATGAAACAAAATTATTAGTTTTAATTTACTCAGCATATTGCAGCTTCCTGGATTATAGTTTGTGTGAATTCTCATATCTTTCCTATGCTGGGCACACACATTCTCCATTGCCATTTAGGCTGTAGTGCACAGCTGTTAAGCTGCCAAACATAGATCACCTGATCCTCCATGCATTTTAAAACCATAGGAGTGACCATCGCCAAATCTGGGCAATGCAAATTCCATCATTTAACCATTTCTTAAAAAGTCCTTCCTTTTATTAGTTATTATTAATCTTTTATCCTATCATGTCCTCCCTGGTGAATTTTTGTTCCAAGTTTTCTTATTATCATTTCTTTATGAAGTATTATTTGCTGTTTACCCAATAATTTTATCTTATCTATTCTGCCTTTCTTTTCCTAATATTGTTCTTACTTTACCCAGTCCTTATTCCATAGGATGTCCCCAACTCTATGATTTTCAACACCCAAATCTCTTTCTCTTCTTTATCCTATTTGTTCCCATCCCCTTTCTTGCTTTATTTACTTTGAGATGATTTAGAAAGGAAGTTATTGACAATTAGCTTTGCATTATATGAAATCGGAATAAATCCTTGTTATTTCTAAAAGTATATAAAGTAATATGCAACTAAGCTTGTGAAAAGTCTGTGAAATTTGTGGCCTCTGATCTAAATCTTTTAAACACTTCTTAACACAACTAAAATTTAATTATTATAATCTGATATATTCCTTTACTTTAGAATCTAGAATATTATGTTATGGAAAGTTACTAGAAACATTGCTGGGTTTAATGGCTGTGAAAGAACATATACACAAACAGACACACAGATAACACATACGCACAGAGGTTTCCAGCATGAACAACAATTTCATGTCCTGAAAAATATATCTATATCTATCTATCAATATCGATATAGATATATATTAGATGTTTTGTCAAGGCACTTGGTATGCCCCAAATATGGGAGGGAGCATACTGCTTCCCTTTTGCCTTTCAGCTCCACCCTAGGAGCCTTTCAGGCCAAAACCATTTTTGTATTGAATTTTTTACTTTCAGCCTGTAAGGCTCCTAGGGTACAGCATACTAGGTGCCTTGACAAAACATCTAATCGTTCCCATGGCTCAGCTGATAAGGGAGGAGATCTTGTGGCTTAGAGGTATATATTCATATTACTGTACAGTAAAGCTTATACTGTGCCTAACAACTTTCAATAGTTCCGTTCTCTCACAAGCACCCAGGGAGAAGCACTCAATCACAAAAGATCATGGTTGATTTAAATTCTTTGTCGCTTGCCTCGGCAGCTTTAAGCGATATAGGCTCCCAGACTAGCCTGGATTGGTCTGAAACCTGCTCTAAGTCTTAGTCTACAAAAATATACACAGAGAAACCAACTTCAATTTTAGTTTGCATTTTCAAAAATTGTAACTGCATAACAATAAGTAGTTGGGATTTAATTGACCTTCCTTTTTCAAGCATCATAAGGATAAGATATTTATGCATGCTTTTAACTAGTGAACCAGTGGTTGAAGTTTATCTTTTTAGTTTGCTTTTGGCTTAGTGTAATATATAAAAACAGAGGGACACAGTTTGTTCAAGGTTTTCTAATTTCTTTTTTGTTGGGCTTTGTGCCATTTTGAGTTTGAACAATAGCAATAATAGTTGTAGGAATTCAACAGATAAATTTAACTAGTTTGCAAGACTGTTGTTTTTGACTTGCTCAGCATGATATGGAAATTATCTGGTCTGACAATTAAAGGATACTTTGTGGACATAGATAAACCAAATGAACTAAAGTCAAAAGACTGCTTTTAACTCCTGACACACACAAACCCACAAAGCTCTTGAACTAATAGCTTTAGCTGTACCAACCATTTATTTATGCGTGGTAGTTCTTGGTTTCAAAATTATTGAATTATCTCCTTCATCCATCTTTGTTTGTTGGTTGAAAACCAGGCAGACTTAATGAAGTCAGCTGTTTTTGGAGAAAGTGGAATGCATTTGTCAAAAACTTTCTTGAAAACTGCCTGTCAGATGCAGTTGTACCAATATGGCTTCTCCACGTATTTTCTAAGGTAGAAATTGCAAATATCTAGATTATTTTAGGAAATCACATCTTACCATTACAGGACCTCCAGTCCACTTATTAAAAAGTAAATATTTTTGAATTTATAGAGGATAAAATTATGTTGATTTCAAAGATTCACATTTAGGTAGATGATATTGTGCCTTTGTAAAAAAAGAGTTAGTCCTTCCCTGTCTTAGATATTGAAACTAGTTTGTCAAAATTTTCTTCTAGGTTTCAGTTCCAAACAATAATTGCCTTTAATGATGATTAGTACTGTAAACTGTTGCTTTGAAACTTTTCTTAATTTCTTCACAGTCTGAAGCTACATTTATCTCTCAATGTCTTTATCCTTACAGCTTGCTGTGCCTCACAGTGATGATTGGACTCGCTTTGCACGCACTTTGGTAGAGATCAGGGCCAACAGAGCTGACAGTGAAGAAGGCAACATGGAAATAGCTGCTTAGAAGAAAGCCTAGTCCTTCCCTCTTATCTGTTGATGAAACCTTCATTGAGCATTAGTTCAGTACACTGTTGATAGCAGTGTTCCTGCCAGCATTACTCATCAGGCTCTTTTTTATAATCATGCTGAGCTTAGTAGCCTGGAAGTATTATTTCATCTCACATTTCTTCTAGTTATAAATAAGAAAAAAATGCAAGGGAATTATGTTGCTGCCTAGTTGATTACTTTAGTAATTGCAATAAACAACCCCTAGGTAAACTTGGGTTCATAACCTTTTATTTGGCCCAGTCCGGGTAAATCTATATAAATTCAGATATGATTGGATGCAGATGTGATGTGCTTTGTGACCTAGGACTGGGCCAAAGTTTTTAGATGTGGTGTTTCACATGGTGACTTACATAATAAATGGATGTACTATATAAATATTGCGAATTATTATCTATTCCAGTCTGCGCATGGAACATACTTATTTGAAAGCAGTAAAGCATGTGTATAAAGAACATTCATTGTCTTCCCATGCATGTTGGAATCATCTTTAATTCCAAATAACAATTACAGGAAGTCACTTTGTAATAAAATGGTAGCTGTAATAGGTTGACCAAATCAAACTTAAAAACCTATGATTTCCTGGAAGTTTAATATTTCATGTTGGTCACTGATACTTGTTAACATATCAGTAGTAACCATCTGAATTGGACTGCAATTGCTGTTACTACTAAATCAATGTTGAAAGGTGTGCTGTAGCCATGTGTTACTCTTTTTGTATTAAACCTATCTCTTAACAGTAAATGAGAGTATTTGAATAAAGAGGCTTATATAGTTGTAACATGACTTCCTCTTTTTTTGCTTTTCTTAAGAAAATAAATCAAATTTATTCTTATGTATTAAAGTGCTTCCAATCTCCTTCTAATGTCATCCTTAGGAAACAACCTGCATGGAAATTAAATTCTTTTCCATACCAGGATTTATTTATTTTTTGTAATAAGGCTTGGTAATTAGATATACTTCAATCCAGTTCCACCATAAATACCATGTTGGCTCAAGATAATTTGCTGCATGAAGAGAACTCTTCCAATCCCAAGTACATTTCACCCACAGAAAACAATTACTTCAAACTAATGTGGTAGAGAATGGGATGTGGTGGCTCAGTGGCTGAGATGCTGAGCTTGTCAATCAGAAGATTGGCAGTTCGGTGGTTCGAATATCTAGCACTGCATAATGAAATAAGCTCCTGTTACTTGTATCAGCTTCTGCCAACCCAGCAGTTCAAAAGCATGTAAAAATGCAAGTAGAAAAATAAGAATAACCTTTGGTGGGAAGGTAACAGTGTTCTGTCGCCTTCGGTGTCTAGTCATACCAGCCACATGAACACGGAGACATCTTTGGACAATGTTGGCTCTTCGGCTTTGAAACAGAGATAAATACCTCCCCTAGAGCAGAGTTTCTCAACCTCAGCCACTTGAACATGTGTGGACTTCAATTCCCAGAATTCCCCATCCAGCAATGCTCACTGGAGAATTCTGGGAGTTGAAGTCCGCACATTTTCAAGTGGCTGAGGTTGAGAAACACTGCTCTAGAGTCAGGAATGACTAGCACATATGTGCGAGGGGAACCTTTACCTTAATGTGGTAGAATTCTATTGTTCATATAAGTTAAAGCACAGTACCTGGCCTATCTTCCAACATGAGGAAACAAAACTACCTTTGGTTACTGGTAAGCCATCCAGCACATGCCATTTTAGCTGAATAATTGCTTAACAGCTGAGCCATCTCAGAAAAACCAAGCCTTACACTTCCAAGATTGTCTTGGTGTTTGTAATCATGTACAGAGTATTTGAGTGAACTATACTTGCCTCCTGCTTCAGAGTTTGGCCATAACCTGAACCCACTGTGTGCCTCATTCTAAAACTGATGTTTTAACCTTGAGCCATGTATTCTGAATCAAGATGTCATCCCTGATCTACTTGGATTGGTATGCAGGAAATAGGTTTTCTGTTCAGACCGTTATCTGAGACATGGATATGGAAGGCCATTCATGGATTTTCATGTAGAAGGCACGTTCAGTCAATGGAAAGAATGCTTGCTCCAAAATTTCAAACTTTAGCTCAGAACAGAATTTAGCAAGTCTTCTGTTGTTGTAATCAAAATTTAAAAACTAAATTGCATCATCAGAATCACACTTTAGGTTATAATTTGTGAATAATTTGAGCTTACAGATAGTTTTATTGAAAGCTTAACAAATTAAGAAGCACTGTGTGTCTCTGCCTATTGGTAGATCCATTTTATACTGATGCTCTAGAAAGGTAGAAGAGGCTCCCAGATTTTTCAATAGCAAATAAGAGCTCAACATCCAATAGTTTTTCTTCATTTTGGTTCTCAATAGATGTGGGCCATGAAGAATTGTATCTTTATATAATAGAACCCGACAACCTGTTTTAGATATTTTTGTTTCAAGAAAAGACAAATTATGCTCTGAAAAATCAATATGTTGTTAAATTTCAATGGTATAATTCTAAGGATGTGGGGCTGTAAAAAGTAGCCCTTGGGGCACATATTTTCCCATCCTATGGAGTTTAAGTTCTTCATCTCACCTGCAGACAAAATGTAACAGCACCATTATGCATGTTTGAAGGTGCAAAGAAAGCACTTGTGACATATTCCAAGAATCATAGATGGAAAATTAAAAATGAGACATCTGAATGTGTCCAACATTTTCACTTTGAATCTATTAGAAATATTTTTTTAAATTATAAGTTTGGGCACCTTTGTGCTGCATAACCACATAATTTAAAAGTTATACATATCCACTGAAGAGGTGGAACAACCCATACACATAAATAGTTACTAAGCTAGAATTATAAACAAAAGTTTTATTTCTGTACACATGTCTACAGATGTGTATGTGCCCACCTTCCCAGTGTTGGGAGATTCTTGATTATTTTTACTCATCCAGAATATGTGTGTATTACTTCTGGATTGGAAACTACACTCCAAAAAATAGTGACAAAATCAGGACTTAACTTTTAATTTTATAGGTTTAGAAATAGAAATATTCAAATCTGTTGTCATGGTACAATGCAATGTTATATAACTTTCTGCTCTGGGATTTCTTTTCCAAATCCCACCTACTTATGTATGAAAATATGACCATGGACACTTTAAGCAGTGGTGGGATTCAAATAATTTAACAACCAGTTCTCTACCCTAATGATTTCTTCCTACAACCAAACTGCTCAGAAAATTAACAACTGGTTCTCTCAAAGTGGTGCAAACTGGCTGAATCCCACCACTGGCTTTAAGCACACCATTCCATGCATAGAGATCTGAGTGAATAATTTTCAAAGTAAATGAATAGGCAAAATATTAGTTCTGGAAATTATTATTAAAAATAATTTAATTAAAAAAAATTAGTAAGAACTTTCACACAAGTATTTTCTACTTACAGCGCAGTAATTAAGGCAAACACCATTAATACAGTGCTTGAATTCTTTTATTGCATTTATTTAAACAAGCAGCAGTTATTCCTAAGTGCATTACATAAAAAATATTCCAAATATCAGTAGGGACAAATTCCAGACCTGTTGGGTGCAGCCTCCATTCACATCAATGCAGCAAAGCATGGGAAATGATTGAGAGCATACAACACTTTGCTGGTGGCTCTCGCCTGGGTTGTGAAATGTCATTGCGGTGAATAACGGGGCTACGTTCTTCCTCAGAGTGCATAGATTATGGAAATCTACATTTCTTTCCCAGGTTTATCCAGTCATAATTCTGTTAGCAGGAATATAAATTGCTTAACATTTGTTGACATGGTTTAAATTACAAAAATGCAACGCCCATAAAAGCTCAGTAACAGTCTTTTTCAACCCTGGCAACTTTAAGACTTCAACTCCTTACTGACTGGGGGATTCTGGGAGTTGAAATCCACTCATCTTAAAGCTGTCAAGTTTAAGAAACACTGCGCTATAATATAATTTAGAAATGCAGTGTATGTAAATTACATTTTCAAAATTAGGTACAGCTCATTCTGTTACATTTTGAATCTTATTGCACATAGAGTATGTAACCAATTCATAATCTGATTTTTAAAAAATTCATATAGCATCATCATCTCTGTTGCATATAAGAAAACCCTAGATACATACATAAGTATACATGTGTGTATACTATATATACACACATATACACCATATGTAAATGTATATAAGAATATATCCAACAGAGTCATGCAGTTTGTTTTGGAAGCAAATACTGTATTTTTCGGAGTATAAGATGCACTCTTTCCCCCCTAAAAGCGTGGAATTGTCACAGAATACAGCCATTTTTGGCCTACCGAAGCCCCGACCCATCATCCATTTTTGTGAAAACTGGGAAAAAGTCGGGGATGTTTTTGCCTTCCCCCAGCCTGCAGAGTGTTCCTGGGGACCGGAGAGGACAAAGAGTTTTTTTTCTTACTTACCTTCAAAATCTTGGGAGTGTCTTATACACTGGTGCATCTTATAATCTGAAAAATATGGTATTTGCCTTGGAATATCTGAATGCATGAATCTAGGTATATTTTCAGGAACTGCCTGCACAGGGCAACTGCCTGATCCCCGAAAAACCAATAGCTTTATTAAGCCATTGCAGATGGATTACATTCACATATTTGTAAAGTGTACTTTTGCCTTTAAATCTGAAATGCTGCTGAGCTCTAATACCTGTTTATGCAGTCATGATGCCAAAGGCCATATCTTCATCTGATGCCAAAGGCCATATTCTACCATCCCAACATTCCCTGTTTGCCCACCAATAAGAAAAATAATTATGAATATGTTTTCAAAATCAGCCCAAGTACATTCACAATTCCAAGTATAAGTAATTGGGGGAGGGGGATACATTCATGGGTCCAAATTAACAACTATTTTAGCAGAAACATCACAGTGATTTGACATGGGAAGCACAAATGTACACCTAAAGTGGGAAAGGAAAAGAAATTTCTAGATAAGGCTTCGCTCAGACAGAAAAATTAAAGGATTGAAGTATAAAGATTGATCAGACACATGGTTCTTTTGCCAACCATTACTTATAAGTATGTTGTGGCTTATAATGCCGTTCTAGAGGTAGGAGATATTGCTGTAAACTGAGGTAAGTAAAGTCCAAATTTATTTTCAATTCCTGCAAATGTGGCAACAGCCAGTTTATAACCCCCAACATGGTCAGGGTTAGGTGCAGGAAGGGTGATTCTAGATTTAAGCACTGGTTCAGATCCTGCTGGTTTTCTGCAAGAAAAAAAAATTAATGCAACCTTTAACTAAAATATTTTTGAAAACAAGTTATTTCTGTAACCCAAGCCCATTTTTCACTTTCCTCTTACTAGGGATCCCTAACCCCATATTACAGAGTAATCTGAATATTCACTTTGGACTCTGAAAGTATGCTTTTGCTCTTTGATACCACATTCATTATCTGGCTCTCTCTGACTAGAACAAATTAGTTAATGTAAGGTACTTACACTCCTCCAAAATCAACGTAAAACCATCGCTGCAGTAGCTCATATGTCACTAGGGTTACTCCAAATTGAGGGGATGAACGAAACACACGAGCTGAAAATAAAATGAAAAACAGCCATATTAACATTTAGGCTTTTAGAAACACTCCCTTCCCTTATTAAATCCCCTCAATTGTTACCTGCAGCTCCTTTCCAAAAAGCCCTTGGACCTTCCTCTCGTAAGATCTTTCCAAAGCAATCAATGACACCACTGTAAGTTGTTTGTCCTGCCCGGGCTGCTACCTGTAACCTTGTCTTTATCACATCTGCAGGGGTCACTAAAGATGCAGCTGGCATTCCTGAAGAAAACAAGGGAA